ATAACATTTCTTGTACAAATTGTTGGGGGCACGCCTCTTTTTCGTAGAGCCAGTAATAAATTACTAAATCACCGAGGAAACACGTAACAAAAAAGATAAAAGAGAACGGAGAGTGTCACGCGAAAGGTCTCGAAGCGAAGCGTGTCGTGAAAGTGTACGAAGAGATTTTTTTACGAATAGGCGGAGGAGAATTGAAATAACCGAGGATGGCGTTAGTGAAAAGCGCGCTCTGGAGCGCACTCTTGCGGGAAAAAGTGGAAGATGGCACGAGACCGGAGTAAATGTTCGTGCAGGTAAGTACTTGTCCATTGTTCGTGCAGGTAAATACTTGTTTCCCATTGTATATTTAATTTAAGTTTGTATTTAGTGAGTATGAGACTTTGGTTTTAGATGCATTACTAACCAAGTTGGAGTTGTTAGAGCTGAGTTGAATTATCGAGTGACTATTCAATTATTATGGTTTTAACTTAAAATACATTAATTTCTTGTTACAGAGAAACCGAGGAAAGGAGACTTTGAAGATAATGTTATATCATGTACTATAGGAATTTGTTATATATTTGTAAATTGTATACAACAATGTATTTATTGCAAGTGAGAGTGAAATAAAATTCTATTGAACATATATTTAAATGCATTCTACTTCCACGGAACAAATTCTTGCCAGAATTGCAAAATAATAACAGGAGAACATGATAGCAAAGGAGATAGATCGCTGAATTATCAGAACTCGACGCCATTTTACAGGAATTTTTGAAAGTTAAAATATGAGGATTTTATGAAAAAAAAAAAAAAAAAAAAAAACTAGAACAATGACAAAAGAGATAGACCACAGAAATCAACCCGATACCATCTTTCAGGCATTATTAGGATTTTTTTAGAAAAATGAACTGAAACAATTTTGTATTAGGAGCACACGACAACGAAAGAGATAGGTCGCTGAATTCTTTGAAATTCGACGCCATCTTGCAGGAATTATTGAAATTTAAAATATTAGGGTTTTGTGAAAAAGATTTTACGAGAACGATTTTGTATTTCAGGGACGTGAATAGCGAAAGGGATAAATCACGGAATTCATACAATCCGACACCATTTTTCAGGCACTGTTAATATTTAAAGTGTTTTTGTATTAGGAGTACATGACAGTGAAAGAAACAGATCATCAAATTACCGATAATGACTACAGCATTACCGATAATTACAATGTGAAGAATAAATTTTACGAGAACGATTTTGAAAGGATATTGTAAAGAAATGGATAGACAAAGGAATTCATACAACTCGACACCATTTTTCAGGCATTCTTCATAATTAAAAACGATTTTACATTAGGAACACATTAGGAACACATGACGCCATCTTTCAGGAATTATCGAAAGTTAAAATACGAAAGCTTTGTTAAGCAAATTTTACGAAAATGATTTTTTATTGGAAGGATATGATAGTGAGAAGGATAGGCCAAGAAATTCATACAACCCGACGCCATTTTTCAGGCATTATTCATAATTAAAAACGATATTGCGTTAGGAGCACATGATAGCGAAAGAGATGGGTAACCGAACTCTTAAAACCTGACGCCATCTTTCAGGAATTATCGAAAGTTATATACATCAGGATTTCATTTTGTACTCGAAGGATGCGATAGCGAAAAACGATAGATCATCGGATTCTTATACAGAACCCGACGTCATTTTAATCAATTATTGAAAGTTAAAATACCAGGGTTTTAATTCGATTTTAATTCAGGTTTCAAGAAGATCGTCGCGAACAAAGGATACGAGGGAGAGATTCACCTTCTGTCGGACCCTTGCCATCCAGCGACTAGCACAAGGTGTATAAAAAATTGCACCAGATGTCTTCAGCACATGCACAACAGTATTCCAGACAAGGAAATATCCAGTTAGTTGCCTATTATTTACTAACTTTTGGAACGTAATTTATATTAAATGAATTATTATTTTTTATTAATTTCTTGAATCATATGTAATCTTCATCATCTAACGGAATTTATATTTCAGGATGGTTGACCGTCAGAGGGAAATTTTTCATGGTGAATGGGGCGAATCTCTCGTGTGGCTGTTCCAGGAGTCCCATGGGCTTCAGTCCCCATTGTCACGTCGGTGACGGTTGCGTGGATGTGATCCTAGTACGACATACCTCGTTCTTCAACAACATTAGAATGTTGTTGAGATTGTCCAGCAAACAAAAGACTCTGGTATGTGTATTACACAGTTACTATTATTATTATTATTATTATTATTAGGAATATATTCATATAGATGAAACGAATTGGAATCACTAAATTTCCAAAGTTTTAAATCGCCAAATTTCGGAAAATTCCTTCGCGACGAAGAAAAAAGTAAAAAGTTGAAATATCCATTTTGTTTTCACTTAGTACGATCTGCCGTTCGTCGAGGTGTACAGAGCGAGGGAGTTTACGTTTCGTGCTCTGCCCACTCTGCATATGCAGTCCAGTAACGAAATCAGCAATCGCTGTCTAAAGTCGAGCCTCAGCGTGTGGAACTGCGACGGCGAGGTGATCGACAGCTCCAACGTGAAAATCAGGTAAACGATCTGCTTAATCAGTTATTATAACTCCAGTTAATTATTACTTCTTTTACAGTTACATCATTACATTTTATTAATTTTATTGTATATTTTATGTTATTAGTTAGTTATAATTTCTTCAGTTAGTTATTATTTCTTTAGTTTCAGAGTTTTATTTCACTTTGAGTTATTTCCTTAGTTAGTTATTATAGATAGTGCATGCTCACTTCCTGTTTCATGACTTTGTACATAACTTTTTATTGTCTCTTTGTTGTATTATATTATTTGTATTACAATTGCTGTATTATATGTATTATGGGCTGTTGTCATGATATTTATATTATATGTATTATGTATTATGCATTACTGTTATATTTATGACATCTCGTCAACTTTTTGTATACTTAAAGATTCAAACGCTTGTCGACAGGGTACACTGCCAACTAGTGAACGTATTCACGAGACGAGCCCAGGAACCAGTCCATGACCGGACCTGCTTCTGTTAGTGGTCAGTTCTGTTACGACGATATCTCTGCTTCGTTATCTTCATCATCTTCGTTGTACATGAAAGCCACGAAAAGTCTACTGGAAATATGCTTGGGAAATAGCAAGAGGCAAAATGTCAGAAGGCGAATATTTTATTAAATTTATACTTCGAACTCCGCCGATTTGGAACCAGAGACAAACGAGGACATTTGTGAAAACTGACATACCGTGGACGCTGCTGCAATTCGCAAGATATCGTCTGACCGCGAATCTGCCCGATATTTCTTCGAGTCAGACTCTCAGAAGCATCAAGAACGCGAGGATCCAACGTTTGCACAGCGACGTTTGCGTGTGGCCAATGTTCTCCGTTTTTTTCTTCTTTTTCTTTTTTTTTCGGTTTTTCTTCTTACACTCAAATTGTATAATCCGTAATCGTCGAACACATTCCATCGTGGATGCTTCCACCACGCGGCTCAGTCGATAAGGACGTACGTACTTACAGAATTTTGTATAACGACGACCGGCTTTTTCCGGCCTTTTTTCCTCCCTTCCTCGACGTTACTGCACTGGTTGCGCAACTTTTCGTACTTAAGAGAACACACAGACACATATACACACATACACACTTGTAAACGCGATTATTGTAGATTCGGTGCACGGATGGACTCTTCCCTGTACGATGTTTTTCGTTTAGGATATCACCAATTTAGGACGCGTAAGGTTTTCTCGATAGTGTTTCGCTTAGAGAGCGTGCAAGTACAAGGCATCGTCCTCGCGAGACTCCCGATTATATATTTTTCAATCGGAGGATGGACTAAAAAGAGACGCTAGGAGTTCGTAATTGAGGGGAAAAAACAGCGAAATTGTGAGAGAACTGACAAAGTATCGACTCGAGTACTCCGAGTTACCGGCCGTAGATAATTGATTTTTGACGAGTTGAAACTGCAGGGTGGGCCAAAAATCATTTCCTATGAAAATAAATAACTTTTTTTTTTATTAATAAACGCTCTGGCGGGCAACATTTGAAAGAAGTAATTTTCGAAACGTAATGTAAAAAAAAAAATCACGTTTGAATTTAAATTTAATTCAAAATCAATGAAATTAGTTTTCTCTTATATTTTGATGTTTTATCGACAAAAAAAAATGAGAAGAAACTTTTGGCCCACTTTATAGAATTCGGCTGAGCCTGATAAGGATAGACTAACCAAATTCAACCGATTGCGACAATTCTAAATTTTCAACAACGAACGATTCGCCTTTTCTTTTTTTTTTTCTTTCTTTTTTTATTTTTTTTTTTTAACTTTTTAAAGAGTTTCTAAAGTACCGCGAGCAACAAACGTTTCGAGACATCGAACGAAGTAACAGAGAGGCACTTTGACCGATACCTTGGCAGTTTAAGCATTTCGTCATCGATAGCGTTAGACTAGCGACTATTTTCGTTACGACGACCCCCGCAAGATGGCTGTACAAACGAAGAAAAAAAAAACACATGTATTTTCGTGAAACGAGCATAATTGTAAAAAAAAATCGAGTCCACAGACAAAGTAGAGAAAATGGCTTCTAAGGAGCCATGGTTGTTAGCGAATAAGCTTTGAGGAAGAATACCTAGCGGCATTTACTTTACCGGGACAAGTATTTCGATCTGTTTACGATAGAAAATCGGTGGATCGCCACGGACTCTCTATCGTGATGTGCACTCACTGTTGCGTCTTTTTCTTTCTTTTTTTTTTTTCCTTATTTATTTTAAATGCCACGAATGCGTGCAATGTGAACGACTAATGAGTGTAGTGCGTGTACATTGTTAAAATTTCGAGTTTCTTTTTTTTTTTTTTTTTTTTTT